TTGTCAATAATTGCACACTTCAGCAAGGGGGAAGTGAACGAGTGCACACTTCAGGGAGAAGGGCTGTCTGGGCCAAAGGGAAGAGTATTTCTAAAGGAAGCGCCCTATTTATGTGTGTGTGTGTGTGTGTGTGCGTGCGTGTAGGCCGATGAGTTGATGATACTATCACAGAGATGTAGCAGATCAAAGTGCTACCATCGTGACGCCAGCAGCACTCTGTTTAGCTGCTCATTTAATTATCTTTATCTGATCCGAACAAAGTAGCTGAAAGCATACACTCTCTCTCTCTAACACAAACACACACACACACACACACAAACACACACACACACACACACACACCTATATCTCTGTGTGAGGGAGAGATAGAGTGTGTGTGTTTATGTGTGTGTGGTGTCTAGTGTTACAATAACACCAGGGGACAGAGAGGCTGTTAAACTTTATGGAGGAGAGAGAATGGACACTTAGCGACCTTCTGACTAATAGATGTTGTCATAGCAACCATATCTCTACGCACATAACCATCACTTCCTCTCACACTACCTACAAGGCTGTGTGGCCACCCCAAAAACATAAGACACACAGAAGTATGTACCCCATCTCTCATCAACAAGATCTTGAAATTTGACGTATTATTAATGAACATCTATTTTTGACACATTAATTTTGCATGGTTGCAGGGTTAATTCTGAGTGGTTACGGTTAAGGCTATGGTTTGGGGAAGGCTCTGCAAACCAACGGAACTCATACCATCAAGAATCATGCCCATAGGGTGCACAGGGGCATGTGCCCCCTCAGATGTGTCCTGTATATATAATACTACTAGCCACCTAGACATTTTATGAAATTGGCTTCAGCTAGCCCAGATAGGTTCCCAATCTCCCAACCTCATAACTAGCTACCAAGAAGCCATTTCAGGCTATCAATCAAGTTAGAGTATCAAGCTTGTCTAACTACACTATATATACAAAAGTATGTGGACACCCCTTCAAATAATAATAATAATAATATGCCATTTAGCAGACGCTTTTATCCAAAGCGACTTACAATCATGCGTGCATAAATTTTTGTGTATGGGTGGTCCCGGGGATCGAACCCACTACCTTGGCGTTACAAGCGCCGTGCTCTACCAGCTGAGCTACAGAGGACCACAAATTAGTAGATTCGGCTATTTCAACCACACCCGTTGCTGACAGGTGAATACAATCGAGCACACAGCCATGCAATCTTCACAGACAAACATTGTCAGTAGAATGGCCTTACTGAAGAGCACAGTGACTTTCAACGTGGCACCGTCATAGGATGCCACCCTTCCAACAAGTCAGTTTGTCAAATTTCTGCCCTGCGAGAGCTGCCCTAGTCAACTGTAAGTGCTGTTATTGTGAAGTGGAAACGTCTAAAGGAACAATGGCCAATCCGCGAAGTGGTAGGCCACACAAGCTCACAGAACGGGACCGCAGAGTGCTGAAGAGCGTAACGCTTAAAAATCGTCTGTCCTCGGTTGCAACACTCACTACCGAGTTCAAACTGCCTCTGGAAGCAACGTCAGCACAAGAACTGTTCGTTGGAAGCTTCATGGCCGAGCAGCTGAACACAAGCCTAAGATCACCATGCACAGTGCCAAGCGTCGGCTGGAGTGGTGTAAAGCTCGACGGACTAATCTGGGTTTGGCGGATGCCAGGAGAACTCTACCTGCCCCAATGCATAGTGCTATCTGTAAAGTTTGGTGGAGGAGTAATAATGGTCTGGGGTTGTTTTTCATGGTTCGGGCTAGGCCCCTTAGTACCAGTGTAGGGAAATATTAACGCTACAGCATACAATGACATTCTAGACGATTCTGTGTTTCCAAATTTGTGGCAACAGTTTGGGGAATGCCCTTTCCTGTTTCATTATGACAATGCCCCGTGCACAAAGTGAGGTCCATACAGAAATGGTTTGTCGAGATCGGTGTGGAGGGAACTTGACTGGCCTGCACAGAGCCCTGACCTCACCCCATCGAACACCTTTGGGATGAATTGGTAAGCCGACTGCGAGCCAGGCCTAATCGCCCATCATCAGTGCCCGACCTCACTAATGCTCTTGTGGCTGAATGGAAGCAAGTCCCCGCAGCAATGTTCCAACATCTAGTGGAAAGCCTTCCCAGAAGAGTGGAAGCTGTTATAGCAGCAAAGAGGGGACCAACTCCATATTAATTCCCAAGATTTTGGAATGAGATGTTCGACGAGCAGGTGTCCACATACTTTTGGTCATGTAGTGTATCTTACCTGGCATGCCTGCCGGCAAGGGTGGTAGACTTTAGAAAAGCAAGCAATTACTAAATGAACTGAATAAGACTCACATTCCTTTCAATCTTTAACCCGGATTTCAGAAGAGATACAGAGAAGCATTTGTAGTATATACCTGTATATATAAAAAATAAATAAACATCAGTCAGGATGATGCAGACAGCTCAAGAGGTATGCTTAGATATGCTGAAAAATAAACACATATTTGACATAGAATTAAGCATAATTAAGCAAATTCCACACCCCCAAGCCACCCTCACCTACTTTGTGCCTCCTCAGATTTATGGGGTACATGCCACCCCTGCCATTAAGTATCATCAAGTATTTTCACGGCTTGCTAGATCATTGGTCTGACGCTTTGGCTTCGAGCATCACGAGTTCGCGCCCAGTGCTGGGCTGCTCTGATATGCATGAACATTTACATTTTAGTGATTTAGCAGACGCTCTTATCCATATACATATACAGTCCCGTGTAGCTCAGTTGGTAGAGCATGGCGTTTGCAACGCCAGGGTTGTGGGTTCGTTTCCCACGGGGGACCAGTATGAAAAAATAATGTATGCACTCACTAACTGTAAGTTGCTCTGGATAAGAGCGTCTGCTAAATTACTAAAATGTAAATGTACACACCAGGGTTGGGTTCAATCCATTTGAATTTCAGTCATTTTAGGAAGTATACTGAAATCCCATTTCTCTTAAATTATTTTAAATGAATAAAACGTAAAATTGGAATTTGGTTCCCTTTCTGAATTAACGAATTTAAATGGAATTGACCCCAACCCTGACACACACATACAAACACATTTGTCGCCTACTACCCCTCTCACAGCCTTCTTTCTACTTTTTCATAGACCACTGTGACAGTCTCCCTCCCTACCTCTGAGTCCCTCCGTCTACCTTCCTCCCTTGTCTTTATCTAATCTATGTTACCCTTTCTCCTCCATTCACCAGGTTGCTACGCAACTGTGTTCCATTGATCTAAGAGCAGGATGACAGGCACACATAACTGTGATGACGCACACACGCACACATCGTCAGACGCATACACGCACGCATTCACACACACCTTTACATACCTTTATTCCAATTACACCGTTGACACAAAACGAGGGACACAGAGGGAGGGGAAGGAGAAAAGGAGGGGGAACAGGAGAGAGAAAAGGCAAAGAGGTAGCGGAAGAGAGAAATATGGGGCTAGGAGATTGATGCAGCATTTCTTCCATAGTGATACAGATTGCCCCGGTCTCCTCTGCCACCTGGTGGACAAGACATTACATTGTTCTTTACATGTTGTTTTCATTAGTCTATTTTGTGTTGTTCCATGATGGGATTGTTCAGCCTACTTGATTTAAATCCTTACCTAATCCAAACGTTATGATTAAATTAAATGAGTATTATGCATTATGGGTGGGCCTATAAACAGTATACTAATTATGTCCAAAGTTATGATTGTTGAGTGGAAATCTCGAATGTAATTAACTTGTTTAGAAACCAACCATGTTTACAAGATGTGGCTCAATTATGATGATTTTCCAACAGATAAGGCCTATAATTACCACTACAGGGCCAGTGTGATTTGTTCTTGAGTCTTAGTTACAGGATGTGACGTCAATCAGACCGCTGGAAAGAAAACTAGTGATAATGTTTCATGAGTCCTTCTACTGAGCCATTTACTTGTTCGTATTCTTGTCTTTTATTATTTCTTATTGTTGTTGCGTTGCGGAGAAGGAACCTGCATGTAAGCATTTCGTTTACCATGCGTATATCCGTACATACGACTAAGAAAACTTGAAGATTCAGAATGATAAAATCATCAGCTAAATTAAATTGCTTTGTGCACAGATGATAAACCTCATGCAAATGTAAAACATTAAATTAAATTAAATCATGGTTTCTCTTACTTACCTAGAATGTAGGCATAGAGTAGATTAGAAAGTTGATAATATAGGCAATTTTTTCGATAGTGACGGAAACGCCACTTCACTGAAGCTGTTGCCAGAAGTAGATAGAATTGCGACAGTAGGGGCAGTGTCGCAAGTGCAGGTTAGGTAGGTAGCCAGCAAGATGACATGTTGATAGGCGCCCACATTGGGAACTGTTCGAATGTGAACGTCATTGCAACGCTTTAAAGATATCGATATCGTGTCCGACATTATATTGTTTCCCGTGCTTATTTTTGATTGAGAAACAATTTCGCGTTGGGGAGCCTGTAAGTCAGATGTGATGTCACCGTTAGCAGCCTGTATTTTAGCATTGTGGGACGTGTAATGTAAGCAGCAAACAACGGGGCTTGTTTGTGTATGTATCCCAAATAGCCAACGAAACGGTCGCGCCCGAAGTAGTTTCGAAGAGACTAACATTTTCGAGATTGCACGCGGATATCGGTCTTGTGTCATCAGAACATTTTTCGGGAGAGGAGTGTTTACGTCTCCCTTGTGAGGAAGTGGGATGTGGCCAGAGTGTATTAATGTTGCCGATCAAGATATGAAAATCATTGTAGCAGTGCTTTTGGAGCCTCGCTACATTGTAAATACTAGGTTAGACTTGGTGCTGAACGCGAGCCCATTTGACGAATTCGATGAAGACATCCCTCGGTGTTCGAAATCGTGTGGGGGTCGCTCTGATTACATAATATCAACATGTGAATTATAGATTGCCTATTTGTATTTTATTTTTTGAAAGCTATTGAATTGCTAATGTCAACTCAACATCAGATAATGGACTCATCTTTCGCTTTGGGAAGACTGGAAATCAATAGTCCCATGGTGAACATGGGGACTCGCCTCTCCGGCTCAGTGAAGGAGAAGAACGCTCAGGGAGGATCGCAGGCGGCGCACCTGAACGGATGTGTGCCGCTCTCCCATCAGGTGGCCGGTCATAAGTATGGCGTTGATAAAGTAGGTCAGTGACTGAACTTATCAAATATGTTCTCCTTTCGCCACGGTGCATGTTGTTTATCCACTACTGAGTGACTTTTAATTGTGTAATCTTGGTCTGCATGGTAGAATAGCTCTCTTTTTGTTCAATGACAATACCTCAAAAGCTGACAGAAGTAGGCTAAACTGTTTTCCCAGGATTCTTTATCACCAGGACAACACTATGGAGCAAGCAAGCAAGCCACTGTGATAGGTTTCATAATGTCAGTCAATAACAGAATAGAGCACCTGCTTGTAACCTTTTGTGTACTTTAGTTGAATCCTGTATTATCGGCTCTCCTATTGTAATCAAGCAACTGAAATCCCGTTTGGCTTCTATCACCACTATCACTCTTGATCATCCACATAGTTGTAGCCTACAAACTCACCAAGCAACTTGCCAGTGGCTATAGCCTAAATCATGAAATAGGCTTACAAATACAATGTCTGAAGTAAGACTCTCTTAGCTGAAACTGAACTGTCAAGAGTAAGAAGAACCAATGTATTATTTCTGTCCTTGGAGACAGTGACAGAGCGCCAGTGTCAGTAAGATGTAATCCTTGTTGTCTCTCTGCTAAGAGCCTTTCAGTTGAATCCTACCCTCAGCCAGGGCATGGGTGTCAGACTCGTATTTAGGTCAAGACTCTTGACACACGCTTAACCTCAGAGTTGATTAAACGCTGACGCTTGGAGTGTTCATTTCCTACCGGTGGGAAGGTCAGGCCAGGGTAAATTCTTTGTCATAGACAGTTATATCTAGCTGTAATGCCCAATCCCACAACCAGCCAGTCCATATTCTAATCAGGGTGCTTTCTTCTCAGTTTTCACTTTCACCATTTCAGCTGATTTCAGTTGTAAGATTCAAGCTGTGCCTGAGGTAGTAACATTTAGTTGAGTGACGTGCGGTCCATTCTTTTTCACTCCTCTCGATCTAATATTGGAGCAAAGTCTCACACAGTGAGTGTAAAGTGTCATACTTTATATGTTACTGGTGCCCCGGTGTCTTTGATAAGGTACATCGTTTTATGACTTGACGTTAAACACAAGTTAACCTTTGCACTTCTCAGTTGGGTATTACTGGCAAACTGTTTGGCCCATTCTGAATACTTTAGAAATGCATCCTTCCTTTCTCTCTTGAAGTAACTACAATTCTAAAATGGTTGCACAATTGTGAAAGCTAGGGCCCTCTCGGTCACATTCTCCAATCCAGTCATGATTATTTAGCTGGAAGGATGTATTTTTGAAATATTCTGACTTTACCTTTATGCTGCAACCAGTACTAGATCTTTGCTAAGTGTCAGAATGGCCCACACCTTTTGTTTCAACAGGCATATTGCAACATCCTGATGGCACAGTACTCAAACAGCTACAGCCCCCTCCACGAGGTCCTAGAGAGATGCAGTTCTACAGCATGGTAACCATCCACCTTTGATGCTAATATATATATATATATATATATATATATATATTATTATCTGAAAGTACATTAATTTTCACTTTACAGTGTGTGCTCTATGAAATTGCTTTTAGTTCTGCATGAAGTCACCAAAAAGTCATCCCTTTCAATTCTACAAAATGTTACTTGGGAACAATTTCCCCATGTCAGTTTGAACAAAGTTTATGTTCAAGTTGACGTGTAGATTAAATGAGTTAACAAAAAGTGAGTGATTAGTCCTAAACCATTCTATCGTTCAATCATCCAGAGTAGCTCTTGAGGAAGCTTAGCAGTCTACCCCCTTACAGGGGCTCTGGGGGCCTTTGTTATGGCAATACTGGGCACAGTAATGTAGTCCATATCTCTACTAGCTCAATGGGCAAGGTCAGCACACTCCCCACATATAAACCAGAGGGCTATCTGTTTATTTAAGGGCTTAAGAAAGGTGTTTGCCTCAGCAATGTCCACTGCAACAACATTTAGCCAAAGCATTATCAGAGATTTCCACTGGCACCGCTTACTCTCCTATTGTTAAAGTGGACTAAATGTACACAAGATGAAATGGTTGCTTTGGAAATACTCTCTTACAGAGGAATCATGTATTACAAACCTGGCTACTTTCACCACCATCATTTCACTGTAGTGAATGATAAAAGGGAAGGAAAATAATGTTTGTATTGTACTATCGCATTACTCCTAATATTTGTTCTACATGCGACATGTTGGTAAAACAACATCCCAATCAATAAAGACACTGACATTCCCACATAGAGATGGTGAGTAGTTCCCTCAAAGGAGCTGATATGATTAATCAACAAGTATATGTCCTAACTGTCCTTTGCTTCTGACAGGTCTACGCTGAGGACTGCTGTGACCCGTGTCTGTTGGACCTTCAGCATCACCTCCCCAAATACTTTGGCACCTGGTCCTCGCCTGAATCTCCTAATGGTAAACACCGGCCCAAAAATAATCCTTAAACCTACCTGGGATATTATTTCAACATGTACCAGGGCCTGTATTCATAAAGGAACTCAGAGGAGGAGTGCTAATCTAGGATCAGGTCCTCCCTGCCCATAAAATGTTAGTCATTATGATCTAAAAGACTAAACTGATCCTAGGCCAGCACTTCATTCAAAAAGACTTTTGTCATTCTGATGGTTTCACAGCAGAGCTCTCTAGCTGTTAAATGTAAACAATCAAGGCAGTGTTCTAATTTGCTACTAGAAAGATGACACTGTAGTGGTGAAACAAAGCCTCCTCTATCATTTTAGTGGCCAAATGTGTTGATTTATAAAAAAATGTCTGTCTCCCACGCCATATTTCCACGCCCTCTGATGACATCACAGAGCTGTACCTGAAACTTGAGGACGTCACTCGGCGTTTCCAGAAGCCCTGTATTATGGACGTGAAGATAGGCCAGAAGAGCTACGACCCCTTTGCCTCCTACGAGAAGCGGGACCAGCAGATCAAGAAGTACCCGCTAATGGAGGAGATTGGCTTCCTGGTTCTCGGAATGAGGGTGAGTCTCCCTCTTCAGCCTCATTATGAGTCCCTCCCATTGGGTTGAAAAGGGCTCTCCAACTGCTACTGCCATTCATGTTACTGAGAGGGGCTATATGAGACCTTGGTGGCAGTACCTTAGGCCGTTTTTACGCTGCAATTATTGAGAGGTATCTAAAAAATACTTGCGACTACTTATTACTGAAGTGTAAAGCTGAGAAATTCTCACGTCTTCCCTTTTTCCACATTTTACAGCCTTATTCTAAAATGGATAAAATAAAAAATATAAATCTCATCAATCTACACACAATAACCCATTATGACAAAGCGAAAACAGGTTTTTATAAACTTTTGCAAATTTATTAAATATGAAAAACAGAAATACCTTATTTACATAAGTATTCAGACCCTTTGCTATGAGACTCGAAATTGAGCTCAGGTGCATCCTGTTTCCATTGATCATCCTTAAGATGTTTCTACAACTTAATTGTAGTCCACCTGTGATAAATTAAATTGATTGGACATGATTTGGAAAGGCACACACCTATCTATATAAGGTCCCACAGTTGACAGTGCATGTTAGAGCAAAAACCAAGCCATGTGTTCAAAGGAATTGTCCGTAGAGCTCCGAGACAGGATGGTGTCGAGGCACAGATCTGGGGAAGGGTACCAAAAAATGTCAGCAGCATTGAAGGTCCCCAAGAACACAGTGGCCTCCATCATTCTTAAATGGAAGAAGTTTGGAACCACCAAGACTCTTCCTAGAGCTGGCCGCCCGGCCAAACTGAGCAGTCGGGGGAGAATGGCCTTGGTCAAGGAGGTGACCAAGAACCCGATGGTCACTCTGACAGAGCTACAGTGTTCCTCTGTGGAGATGGGAGAACGTTCCAGATGGACAACCACCTCTGCAGCACTCCACCAATCAGGCCTTTATGATAGAGTGGCCTGATGGAAGCCACTCTTCAGTAAAAGGCACATGACAGCCCGCTTGGAGTTTGCCAAAAGGCACATAAAGGACTCTCAGACCATGAGAAACAAGATTCTCTGGTCTGATGAAACCAAGATTGAACTCTTTGGCCTGAATGCCAAATGTCACGTCTGGAGGAAACCTGGCACCATCCCTACGGTGAAGCATGGTGGTGGCAACATCATGCTTTGGGGATGTTTTTCAGTGGCAGGGACTGGGAGACTAGTCAGGATCGAGGGAAAGATGAACGGAGCAAAGTACAGAGAGATCCTTGATGAAAACCTACTCCAGAGCGCTCAGGACCTCAGACTGGGGTGAAGGTTCACCTTCCAACAGGACAACGACCATAAGCACACAGCCAAGACAACGCAGGAGTGGCTTCTGGACAAGTCTCTGAATGTCCTTGAGTGGCCCAGCCAGAGCCCGGACTTGAACTCGATCAAACAGTTCTGGAGAGACCTGAAAATAGCTGTGCAGCAACGCTCCCCATCCAACCTGACAGAGCTTGAGAGGATCTGCAGAGAAGAATGGGAGAAACTTCCCAAATACAGGTGTGTGAAGCTTGTAGCGTCATACCCAAGAAGACTCAAGGCTGTAATCATTGCCAAAGGTGCTTCAACAAAGTACTGAGTAAAGGGTTTGAATACTTATTTAAATGTTTTATTTTTTGTGAAAAAATTCAAGAGGTCTGAATACTTTCGAAAGCACTGATATGGTCATTTTGACCATCATGGCTCAGACAGTTTTTGTCGTTTCATGATGTTGATCTCGAAGTACTGCTAGACTGTAAAATACACATATTTAGGAAAAGACAGGGACAGGTGGGTTCAAAGTTTTATTGTAATGAAGTTATTGAATCTACTAAATTGATAATCATTAGTGGTTACTTGGCATTAGTAACCATTTGAGAAAGTAAAGATGGAGAAGGGCAGAATGTGAGGTTGTTTCTATATGAAGGGTTGTTTAGATCACTACTGATATTCACTGTGTTTATTATATTAATAGTTTATGTCAAGGTGTTATGTCAAGGTTGTCATGGTGAGAAAAATAAAGTTTAAAGAAAAACTTTTGCCAGACCTCAACTCAAACATTAGGAACACCTGCTCTTTCTATGATATAGACTGACCAGGTGAATCCAGGTGAAAGCTTTGATCCCCTATTGATGTAATCTGTTAAATCCACTTGTGTAGATGAAGGGGAGGAGACGGGTTTAAAGAAGGATTTTTAAGGCTTGACACAATAGAGACATGGATTGTGTATGTGTGCCATTCAGAGGGTGAATGGGCAAGACAAAAGATTGACAGTAAGTGCCTTTTGAAGGGGGTATAGTAGTAGGTGCCAGGTTTGAGTGTGTCAAGAACTGCAATGCTGCTGGGTTTTTCATGCTCAACAGTTTCCCGTGTCTATCAAGAATGGCCCACCACCCAAAGGACATCCAGCCAATTTGACACAACTGTGGGAAGCATTGGAGTCTATGTGGGCCAGCATCCCTGTGGAACGCTTTCAACACTAGAGTCCATGTCCCAATGAATTGAGGCTGTTCTGAGGGCAAAAGGGACGTGCAACTCAATATTAGGAAGGTCTTTCTAATGTTTTGTACACTCAGTGTTGTTTTGTACACTCACTAGTGTTGAACAAGTAGAATCAATACCCGATGACCTCATCTCCGCCATCAGACTAGTTGTTTTCCGTTAACATGGTAATCACAGGAACACAATGGCAATAATCCCTCAAAGGGATTTTACCAGGTGTTGATAAACTTACCTGGGCAGCCGAACATGAGCTAGAAGGACAATCCAAAGATGGTTGTGTTTTGGTCAAGTGTTTTTGCAACAATATCTTATGGTTGGAGTCAATGTAGAAGTGTGCCCTCTGCTCGCCATTTTTGGTCTACCACCTATTGGTTTAATGGTGCCCAGGGCAATGCAGGATGCAATCGCTTTTGGTAGTATCCTAGCCAAGAGACGCATAGTCCTTGAGTGGGAAAATGTTCACCCACCATAGCACAGTTGATGGCTGCAGGATTTGATTCACTTTGTAAAACTACACTTTAAAAGGGAAAATGTATGTATTTCATTCCAAAATTATGTATTTCATTCCTTCTACAGAGGGCAGACCCTCCTTTTGACTTGGAAATTGCTTGCTTGACTGTTGATGCTGCTTTTGTTATCATTTATTTTTTAATATCTGATTTGCCTCCATTCTGTATGGCTGGCTTGGTCCTGCTGAGAATCTGCTACCATACTTGTCCATATACCTTTGAACGTTGTTGCTTTTCCCTGGTTCTGACCCCTTTCGGTCCCGGGACCAGGATTGAGAAACACTGCCTTTGAACAGTGTTAAAATATCCATGACCTTGAGTGTACCTGATCCTCTGACCCATCTAACTGTACATGTACAGTCCACTTCCAGAATGATTGGCACCCTTGATAAAGATGAGCAAAAAATACTGTATAAAATATATAATACAAATACTTATACAATTGCACGGACATCATTACATTTTACATTTACATTTTAGTCATTTAGCAGACGCTCTTATCCAGAGCGACTTACAGTTAGTGAATACATTTATTTTATTTATTTTTTATTTTAATACTGGCCCCCCATGGGAATCGAACCCACAACCCTGGCGTTGCATACCCCCAAGACATGCTAAACTCTCACCATTACCAATAAGAGGGGAGGTAATTTTTTGGGAGGAGGTATGATATTTACAGTGGGGAAAAAAAGTATTTAGTCAGCCACCAATTGTGCAAGTTCTCCCACTTAAAAAGATGAGAGAGGCCTGTCATTTTCATCATAGGTACACGTCAACTATGACAGACAAATTGAGAAAATTTTTTCCAGAAAATCACATTGTAGGATTTTTTATGAATTTATTTGCAAATTATGGTGGAAAATAAGTATTTGGTCACCTACAAACAAGCAAGATTTCTGGCTCTCACAGACCTGTAACTTCTTCTTTAAGAGGCTCCTCTGTCCTCCACTCGTTACCTGTATTAATGGCACCTGTTTGAACTTGTTATCAGTATAAAAGACACCTGTCCACAACCTCAAACAGTCACACTCCAAACTCCACTATGGTCAAGACCAAAGTGCTGTCAAAGGACACCAGAAACAAAATTGTAGACCTGCACCAGGCTGGGAAGACTGAATCTGCAATAGGTAAGCAGCTTGGTTTGAAGAAATCAACTGTGGGAGCAATTATTAGGAAATGGAAGACATACAAGACCACTGATAATCTCCCTCGATCTGGGGCTCCACGCAAGATCTCACCCCGTGGGGTCAAAATGATCACAAGAACGGTGAGCAAAAATCCCAGAACCACACGGGGGGACCTAGTGAATGACCTGCAGAGAGCTGGGACCAAAGTAACAAAGCCTACCATCAGTAACACACTACTCCGCCAGGGACTCAAATCCTGCATTGCCAGACGTGTCCCCCTGCTTAAGCCAGTACATGTCCAGGCCCGTCTGAAGTTTGCTAGAGTGCATTTGGATGATCCAGAAGAGGATTGGGAGAATGTCATATGGTCAGATGAAACCAAAATATAACTTTTTGGTAAAAACTCAACTCGTCGTGTTTGGAGGACAAAGAATGCTGAGTTGCATCCAAAGAACACCATACCTACTGTGAAGCATGGGGGTGGAAACTTCATGCTTTGGGGCTGTTTTTCTGCAAAGGGACCAGGACGACTGATCCGTGTAAAGGAAAGAATGAATGGGGCCATGTATCGTGAGATTTTGAGTGAAAACCTCCTTCCATCAGCAAGGGCATTGAAGATGAAACGTGGCTGTTTCTTTTAGCATGACAATGATCCCAAACACACCTCCCGGGCAACGAAGGAGTGGCTTCGTAAGAAGCATTTCAAGGTCCTGGAGTGGCCTAGCCAGTCTCCAGATCTCAACCCCATAGAAAATCTTTGGAGGGAGTTGAAAGTCCGTGTTGCCCAGCGACAGCCCCAAAACATCACTGCTCTAGAGGAGATCTGCATGGAGGAATGGGCCAAAATACCAGCAACAGTGTGTGAAAACCTTGTGAAGACTTAC